GGGCCTGCAGGCCGTGTAATATGAATGGAAAATTGTAGGCTGTGTCGTGATTTGTGAAATGAAATGTGGGCCTAGTGCCGTACATTATGAATGAAATGTAGGCTGTGTGCCCTGTGAAGCATGAATATTGCATGCGTGACTGGGGCGTATTAGCGCCGTTGTAATGTACTGTGAATGATTCAGCGATACACTGGAGGTGTAGAAGATGAGGACGATAGAAATACCTTGGGGAAGAGGGAGTGGTGGTGACACCGACTATGGAACGGGTGCACCACGGGCCACACACTCTCTTCTTGACTAGACCTCTGACCACTATCTTTGCTGAGCGACCCATGACTGCTCACGTGATATCCGTGAGGTGGGGGTAACCAGCGACCATTCATAGTGAAAATATGTTATCATAGTGCCACAGTAGATGTGGTTGGCGTGCATGCGCGTGGGACTATCGTTAATAATATTTTAGAATGTGAAATGTTGTTGGTGCCGTGAGTGCATCGATATTGAATTATAATATATCGAGTGATAATGTTGTGTGTGTTTGTTTCTGTATAAATGTATAGAATTTTGATTTGTAGGTGAGACTCTATGCCTAGTTGTGTGTTTTGGTAGTGTAGAGTACTCACCGTTACATTCATTTTTTAGGTAACTAAGACGATCAGCACCGGACTCAGTGAAAGAGGTGGATAGAACTGCTATAGGACTAGGATATAAATTTGGAAATAATGTATTTCAAAAGGGTCCTGTAGTAGTGATTTGAGGAAGATTGTAACCTTTTTTTCTTATTCTGAAATATTTGATGAAACCATGGGTTGAGAACTTTATTTGAAATGGAACTTTTATTATCCTGAATTTGTAAAATTATTATTTATTGAATATTGAGAATAAGGTGTTACAATAGGCTAAAATTTTAGGCTTGGCTTGGCCTTTCTAGAAGTCTGACTTAGTTCAATAGCCTATTTAACAAGAAAGCCTTCAAAAAACACTAACACTTTAAATTTAATGGGCCAATAGGTCAATGAGCTAGTAACCAACGGGCTAGCAAGCTGAAAAGCCTATTATTAATAAAATAGAAAACATATGATAAGTAATTATATTTAATACTATGTTTACCAAAATATAAAAAAATACATAAATGGCTTCATAGATATCATATCTCAAAATGACCATATTCAATAACTCCACAAAGTTTTAAAGAATTATATTAGAGTTAAGAAGTTGAAAAGTATTTGAATTAAAAAGACTAGAATAAGAATTAGGAAAGAATGAATTCTAATAATAAATTGATATATTTTAGAAATCAAACGAAGTTTTAATTATTTTTTTTATGATAATTTTTAATTTTGGTACTCTAATAGTATAATTATAATTATTATAGATTACATACTAAATTATGTTATATATATTAATATGTACAAAGTTTTAATTGATACTCTAATAGTATAACTATAATCATCATATTATTAAAGTATAAATAAACTATGTTATACATTATATATATATATATATATATATATATAATTTTTTGGACAATTATATTTGTATTAAATTGTTACAAATAAATAAACATAAATTATAAAATAATATAATTATTTAATTAGGCTAGTCCAATAGGCTTGAAAAGCTTTTTTTAAAGCTTAAGTTTGGCCTCTTTATCAAATAGGCCTTTTCAAAAGTTTAAGTCCGATCTTTTTAATAAAGAAGTTGAGCTGGGTTAGGGCCTTAAATAGACTAGGCCATACACCCTTGTTGAGCGACTTGGTCCATTCTCATCCCTAAGTGCAAGTTGCTCAAAAAGAGAACAAAGCTAAGGAGTCTAGAAAGTTCAAGGATGATATTGAAGCTAAAGGGATAAAAGAGACACTTTTGAAAATTGTCGATGCTTTCAAAGATAGTAAAAGCTCTAAGGAAGAGTATACTAGCTTACGAGAAAGCTACACAAAAACTTCCAATTTTTAAAAATGAGATTTGGGGTCTTTTGGAAGAATTGAAAATTGAGAGTCAAATATTTAACCGTGCATACTTATTTCTTCTTGACAATCCTGGAAAGCTTAAAGGACTACTTGAATCTCCGAAGATAAGCAAAAGAATTTGCCAATAGAAATGATGTTTGGTCAAGTTGGTTCCTCAAGGTACTCTAACTCTTTTTTTTTTTGTTTGTTTATAACCAACTTTTTATTTTTTTTAAAATTTTTTATTCTATTTTGCAGGTCATACTAATATCTAGTTAAAGGTATAACCAGTATATTTTGTCTTGTCAGTGCAGTAGCATGGAGAAAAAATTTGCTAATAGAGATGATTTCTAATGCTAAAATAGATTAGTAAATTTGCTAGAGTAGCTAATTTGCCAATACCTATAAAGCTTAATATTAAAGACTTTGAAGTAAGCATGACTCATTTGAATTTTTATATTATGATTGTATTTCAATGAACTTTTCATTTGTTGTTAATACCTTATATATAATGGTTAAAGGTGCTTTTAGTATATGGTTGATAATATATATTTATTTATTTTACTTGCTTGAATTTGAACGAGTTAAATGTAATTTGAAATGTTTTTTTTTATTTAGTCTATGAGAATATTTTTCTTCATATTGATTATTAAATTAATAAAATAGTAAAAAAAATAATATTTCTCTAAAAAGTGTGATGTTAATTTTAAATAAACAATAGAAAAAAATTCATAAAATATGTTAGTTTTAGAGTGATAATTTTTTAAAAAATTATTAAAAATAGAAATATAAATTTTAAAAATATTAATTTTTAGACAGCAAAATATATATAATTTTTTATTTTTTAAAAAATAAAGAAAGAATAGCAAGAAAATAACTTTTTTTAAAATATGTTTGTTTTAGAGTGAGAATATTTTTTTTATAAAAATAGAAATATAAATTTTAAAAATATTAATTTTTAGAGGAAGAAAAACATTTAATTATTGTATTTTTTGAAAAAAAATAAAAATATAAAGGACAATAATATCATTTATATTCTTAAACTTTTTATCACTCTCTCTTCTTAATATTAAACATCCAAATAAAAGGAGAGGTTTAATCATTCCTTTTCTCCTTTCCTTTCCCTTTCAAAATCTTTCCCTCTCCCTCCAAACTGTTAAACAAAGTCTTAGACTCGTTGAAATGTATTCAAGATGATGGACTAATTTAATATAAATAGGACTATTTTGCTGACAAAAACAAACATTTGATAATTTTATATATTTAGCACTTCTTAAAATTTGGTGTTATTAGGAGTAATCCTACTTGAGAAAAACAAGAATTCAACTATTAAATGTCCTCAAGACAATAGTTAAAGAATCAATAAACTAAAAAGGTAATTCTAAATTACTAGATTATATGTATATGAGCACTAAAAATTTTTTCTAGAATATTGCAAAATTTTACTTGATACTTTTATGTTAAATAGAAAAAATTTCAAATGATGTATTTCTAAAAAAAATTGTCTCTGTTATACTTAACCTTTTGCAATTATTATTTATAATTTCTCTTACATTTTATTCATTTTAATCACCACTATTGTTGATTTAAAATTGTTTGAAATAGTTTTATAATAAACAAGATTAGTTTTTTGAACTTTAAAATTAGTAGGCAAAGAAATACTTTTAAAATTTATAAAAGAAAAGAAAAACATCTTGAAAATGTTAATTTTTACTCTTTCTATATCAAATTATCTATTGTTTAATGTGTTTCAAATATAGAAAATAAAAAAATAAAATAGTGACACTAATTATTATTAAATAATAGTCTCTTTTGACTGCATATCATTGTTAAAAGAGTTGGTGTGTAACTGTATATTAATTAAATATTTAGGAAAATATAAAAAGTAGGAGTGTTTTATAATTAATTCATATTTTATTAAATTTCTAACGTAATACAAAATTTAAAACACAATAAAATTATAAAATGATAAATAATTTGAAATGAAGGGAGTAATATAAAAATACTAAAATAACTAATCTTTTGAAAATATTTATTTTAAAAATAAAGAAATCAATAAAACTTGTTAAGAAAGTAAAAGTGAAAGCTTTTATGAAAAATTATTACTAACACACCTTAGCATGATATTCAATACAATATTTCATCTTGAGTTCTAATAAAAAATTATTTTTAATAAACAATTATATTTATTGATTATTTATTAATAATTGTAAAATGCTTGCTAATTACTAAATATGTAAATTAGTTAGTAGAAATTGTTTCATCTTACAACTTTTGGGTTCAATCAATGATTTTGTCTGAAGTGATTCCATTAAAATAATGAAAAAATAAATGAATAACTATGATACGAAAATAAAGGGAAAAAAAATAATGGGTGACTGCTAGGTGAGAGCTGGCTTAGAGTTAGTATGCCAACATGCAGGATGCCATAGTTTGACCCTATTAAAACGGATTGAACTTAAACAACTTCCACTTCCTATCCACACACGCAATAGAAAACTCTATGAAAAATTTTAAGATACCTTTTTTAATTAGCATAAATATGAAAAATATTAAAAAGAAAATATCCTTAATCCCTTTGGCTTAATTTAGGATAGTTGAGTTTTTTCTCTACCACTCTTAGATCCACGCACGTGCTAGTTTAAAATGGTCGTTTCCATTTTTAAGCCTTTTGCATCCAAGTATCTACTACCTGCTTTTAGATCCCATTATCGGTGAATATTACCTTTTTCTTTTATATTTTCACTATGAAATCTCCCCTCTTCACATTTTTTCTCTCCTATCTTTATGCCTCATCAAGTGCTTGGTTTGACCCTTGTCCTTTTTGCTTCTAACAATTGTCTCAGCTATATTGATTTTGTCGTTTGATGATATCAAAGTTTGATTAAATTTCATTTATGATTTTCATGAAATTTTCCTTGTTTTGAAAAGACAATTGTCAATAGAATCATTTTACTTTGAGTTTCTCATAATTCTAGTTTTGAAATTAGTTTGTGATTGTGATTATTTGTTATTGTGGATTGCTAGCTAGCTACCGTCCAATTTTGAGGTATGGCAGACTTTAATGTCTCAGCATATGCTCATAGTTCTGTGCACAAGGCCATAGTATTAAAGAATCATGATGATCTTCAGGAGATTCTTGCAAGGTTACCAAAACTTTGTAACCCCTATAATATTAAAAATGAGGCTGCAGCAATACATGAAGATGATAAGGTTACAACCATCTCTGCTGTGGTGCATAGGAGGGATGTGCCAAATGGTGACACCCCTCTTCACTTGGCTGCAAAACTTGGTGATGTGGTAGCAACTGAAATGCTCATTGCTGCTGGTGCAAATTATAGATTGAAGAACAAGGAAGGATGGACTGCTCTTAGAGAAGCTATCATTAATAAACAAAATAAAGTAGCAAAGATTATGATTACTTATTCTTGGAATGATTATGATGAAAAATGGCATAGAAGGTTGCCTCGTTATATAGGGACTATGAGAAGGATGAGGGACTTCTACATGGAGATCACATTCCATTTTGAGAGTTCTGTGATACCCTTCATTTCAAGGATTGCACCTTCTGATACTTACAAAATTTGGAAAAGGGGTGGGAATATGAGGGCCGATATGACTTTGGCTGGCTTTGATGGTATGAAAATAAAGAGGTCTGATCAAAGCCTTTTTTTCCTTGGTGATGGATTAGAAGATCAGAAGAAAGTCCCAGGATCACTGTGCATGGTCTCACACAAGAAGAAGGAAGTGGTTGTTGTTTCTGCACCTCCTGAAGATTCAAAACCGACCGATAGAGAGGTTAGGTTGTTATTGGATAAAAAGTCTAGATCTCAAGTATGTAAGGTTGGACTTGATCTGAGTCAGGCACTTCTTGCTCCCCAAATGACTTGGAGGGGAAAGGAGAAAAAAGAAAGTGTGGGGACATGGAAAGCTAAGGTATATGAGATGCAAAATGTGGTTCTAACTGTGAAATCCAAAGCTCTTCCTGGAGCTCCACCTGATCCTAAGTCATCTCCCGAAGAAAGTACAAAGGAAAATGAAAAATTTGAAGACACTTTAACAGATGATGACAGGAAGCAATTAGAAGTTGCTATGAATGCATCAGATGAAAATAGTCATACTCACAAAAGTAATGTAAAGAAAGAAAAGAAAGGAAGGTCTAGTGGACACAGAGAAAAAGGGCACCATAAGGGAAAAAACAACAATTCTGCTAACAGTAGGAGCCAGGTAAATGCAAGTGATGACACTGAGTATAAGAAAGGGATGATGCCTGTTCTTTGGCTTTCCCATGACTTTCCCCTAAAAATTGAAGAATTGCTACCAATGCTTGATATTCTTGCCGAGAAAGTTAAAGCAATCAAACGTTTAAGAGAACTCCTTACAACAACACTTCCAAAGGAAACCTTTCCAGTCAAGGTATGTCCTTTTTTTGTTTTGTCATATATGCATTTTAATTTCTTTCCAACACAGCCAACAAGCATTACCAGAATGTACATGTAATTATGTTTACTCTTTTTTTTTTTCTATCTTGTTTTCCTTAATGCACTACCCAGAAGGGAAAATTATTAGATGTCTTATCATATGTTGGTTATGGTTGATTTTATTCTTTTCTATATTCTAAAGGTACAGTGTACTATTTCGCTGCACATGTTTGTGCCTAAATGCTTCTATAGCAATTTATCTAAATTCATTAATGTTTGTCAGTTAGTTATCTCCTCAAAAGACTATTTCAATTGTGAAGAATGAAATTTGTCTTAGCTTGCATGTGGCAATGATTTTTTAAAAACTACAAAACTACAAAACTTGCCATTTAGATATTAGATAACAGTTGGTTAGATCCTGTGCATTTCTTTTGCATCTAGTAATGCTTATACAAATAACACTTGGTTTTTCAAAAGACTAATGTTATGCTTGGAAGGGTGAATATGAAATGTATTGAAGAGTAAAGGAGTAAATTATGAGTGTATCTAACCATAGATCATGATTTGGAACATTCATCCTTCCCTTATTCATCTCCCTGATTCACATATATCAAGCACACCTTAAAATTTTGTGCTTTGAAAAGCACAGAACTCATTTGGGGAACCTGATAAAAAAAAGAGGTCTAGTTAACCAGTAACCTTAGGAAATCGTTTAGGAACTAATAATAAAATAATTTTGTTGGAATGCACAAGGAGGGGGGAGATGCATTAGTATATTTTTTAATAAAAAATATTCACTTTTAATTGCTTACGTAGGTCCCTTAAGATATTGGTTAACATTTGTCAAAACTAAAAAGTTATACTTTGTAATAGTATGGAAAATCAAAACTTTATTTTGTTTTGTTCTTTCTATAAATTAAATGAAAGGATAATAAGCTTGTTTAACGCATGACCTGAAGGTTGAGATAGAAGAATTCAATTCAACCAAGAGTTCACTCAGGACCCAAGAACATAGAGTTTAACATGAATTTGGCTTGAGAAGTTTGAGCCTCATTGTTGAATAGGTAGCAATGGCTCAACCACCTTCATTATGACATCAGTATGAGGAAAGCTGCCAACAAATTAATAGTTATAAATTTTTACAGAATGTGTATGTAGATGGATCATTTGTACAATTGCCATTGCTTAGGTATATATTGTTGCAATTGATAGTTCTTGGAATATGTGCTCACCCCAAAAAAATTAACAGGAGTTATATCCAATTTAGCCATCAAAATGAACTATTTGAACATTGACATCTAGTTGTGCTAATGTAGTATTTACGGGTAAGGTTGCATCCCTGCCAGAGTACAAATTCAACAGTTTGACATTAGGACTATACACATGCACATCATTTGTATTTGTCACCGATCGGTTTATTCCTCTCCTATTTTTGTTATTTAAAAGGAGTTACTAGTAAACTATGTGGATTGGTATTTGGTGGGACTAATAGGAAAGAATTAATGATCTTATTAATGATTTATTTTCTATCTTGTCATTATTGTCTTTTCCATATTCTTATTCAATTTTTTTATTGATATGCATGATTATAAGACACATTTCATTGCCTTTGCAAATTCAGGTTGCCATCCCTGTGGTGTCCACAGTTAGAGTATTAGTAACTTTTACAAGGTTTGAAGAATTACAACAAGTAGATGAGTTTGAATCAGCCCCATCAAGCCCTACTAGTGCTGACCTAGAGAATTCAAATATAGAACAATCCTCATCAACATCGTCATGGTATCAGTGGATGAAGACTCCCTCTAGATCTGGTTCTTCTGCTGTGGAATCTAGCAGTAGGACAAATGAAAACCAAGATCTATTTGCTATTCCCTCAGGTTATACATGGCTAACCTATAGAGAAATGGTGAAGAAACAACAAGAAAAGAACAAGAAAAAGCCACGGAAGTCATAACTAAAAGGGTTGAAACAAGGAAAAATATAACTATAGTTAGATTCACTTCCCTCGCATATAACCTATGCCAAACATCAATTGTAAGCACTAGCCTTATTTTAACACATGATTTGTAACTTTTATATTTAGTTTATTTTTATTGAGCAAAAGTAGTGGCATGAACCAAATCACAATTGTAACCACAGTTTGAAACTTTATTTAGGAGAATCCACCGTATTTAAACCTTGAACCACAAAACAACAAACATAAAAAGTACACACAATTTTAGAGGTTAATTCTATATGATTTGTTCACCTATTCATTGCTTATCAATGTTCTTACAACAAGCTCAAATGTACAAGCATAAAGGCAATAAAGTAGATAACTTATTTAATCATAAAATAAGTGGACAACTTATATTATTAAAAGAAGATTTATAAATAAAAATATGACATCATAAGATCCTAAGAGGGTTGTAATTATGTTTATATAAAATAAGAACTTAAAAATGAAGCTTTAAAAGATTTGTAAAAAAATGAAAGAATGATCCATGACCTCTCAAAGCTAAAAAAGGAAAAAGTAAAAAAACTAAATACAATTCTTGACTGAATTATTGTGCCTCTGCTGGTTTTATCATATCGTTTAGGGAAATTGAAATGATTGTTATGTGTTATGAATGGCTTTAATTTTATTCCTATATTTAATAGTTGATGTAAACCATTTAAAATGTAAAATTGGTTGATAAAAAATAAATAAATTGAGTGAAAATAGAAGAGGATTTCATCTTTAGAGAGCACTTTTGTGGGAGATCAATAATTCATAAGAGAATTATTTTTTGTAGTCTTTTTTTCTTTTCTCATTAATAGAGATTCTCCTTAGTAATAATTATCTTTCATATAGTTAAATTTCTATGTCAAATATGACTTTATCATAACAAATTAGTATTAGAGCTATGGCATCTGCAAAGTTTGACATTTAGAAATTTACTAGCAAAAGTAAATTCAAAATGTGGCACGTGAAGATGCTCTCTCTTTTCACGTAACAAGAATGTGAGTTGGTGTTGGAAAGAGAAGTAAAGTTGTCAATCAAGCTTACATTTGCACAAAAGAATGCAATAATGAATAAGGTGCATAGTAAAATTTTGTTATCGCTAGGTGATGAAGTTTTTAGAGAAAAGACTACTAATAAGCTTAGGGCAGAGCTTGAAAGTCGATACATGACAAAGTCTCTCCATAATTGTCTTTGTTTGAAGAAATAATTATATAATATGCAAATGCATGAAGGTGAGTACACTTATAAACATATCGATAATTTCAATTAAATTGTTCTTAGTTTAAAAATATTGATGTTGGAGTGGATGACGAGGACTAAGCTATTTTTATTCTTAGTTCTTTGTCAAGAGCTTATGAAAACTTTGTAGCCATAATAATTTTTAAAAGAAATTCATCATCGATGGAGGAAGTAAAAACAATGTTACAATCTTAGGAATTTGAAAAGGCGAATTGCCAATTCATATAGTGGCACTAGCTTTGGTGAAGGTTTAATGGTAAGAGGAAGAATATGACAAAAAGAAGAAAAACTTTTAAAGAAGTTGGTCAAATTCCTGCAACAAAAATAAGAACAATAATATAAAGGACATTGGAAGAAATAGTGCCAAGATCTTAGGAGAGATAAAGTAAATACTTTAGAGTTTGGTGAAGTAGTTGTAGCCTCAGAAGAATTAGAAGGTGAAAATGTTCTCCTCATCTCATCTAATGTCAATGATGATGAATAAATTCTTGATTTAGCATGTACTTTCCATATGATGCCGAATAAAGATTGATTTGTCATGTTCTAAGAGGTTGACAATGTCAAAGTTTTAATGCAGAATAATGGTGCTTGTAACATAGTTGGTAAAGGTACAATGCAAATTAAGATAGTTGATAGTATTGTGAGAACATTAACCAAAGTGGAGGTATGTGCTCAAACTCCACAAAAATTTAATTTCCTTGAGCACATTAGACTCTCTTAGTTGTTCATTCTAAACTGAAGGTGGAGTTTTAAGATTTTTTTAGAGGTGCCTTAATAGTTATGAAGGGAAGGTTAAAGAATGGACTATATATCTTGCAAGGTAGCATAGTGGTAGATACAATTGTGCTTTCTTCTATTTCTGATATTGACCAAACTCGTTTTTGGCATATGAGGTTATGCCATGTAAGTGAACGTGGAATGAATGAACTTAGCAAAAGAGGCTTGCTTGGTGGACAATGGACTCGAAACCTAGATTTTTGTGAACATTGTGTTTATGGAAAACAATGTAAAGTGAAATTTACATTGTAGTTCAAAGAATGCGAGGGACTCTTGATTATATCCATTCAAACCTTTGGGGTCCGTTATGTGTTCCTTCCCATAGTGGAGCAGAGTATATATTGATGAGAATTAAAGAAGGCCATTGAAGACCAAAGCTTGAAGGAATTGGAAGGACTTCAAGGACCAATAATAAGGGCAAGGGCAAAGAAAATAAATAGAGACTTAGAAAATATGGTTGTTGTCCTATCTGAAAGAGATCTTAATTTAGATTAAAACAGCCAAGATGGTCAATTACATATGCTCAGAGAACTTGGACTCCAATGAGTTTTATTAGGATTTAATTACTATGTTTAGTTTATTTATTTTAATATTAGTTATTACTTATTTTAAATTTTTAGTTAGAATAAAATTTTAATATTTTATTTAGTTTAGGGTTTTCTCTTCAATATTCTTCCTATAATTTTCTCTCACATACAATTAATTATACATTATATAAATCAATACAATATCTCAAAGATTGAACACTTTCGGATTCAACCCAATCGTACAATTTAAAACACATTAAAATTTAATCATGCATCACAGATATATTACCGAAGATCACACTCTCTTGGTCTTAATAAAAAAAATCACTTATCCTAAAGTTTAGCATTTTCTATTTTTCATCTTCCAGTATACATATTATTTAAAATAATAATTCACAACATTAATTGTACATACATAATAATAAATAACAAAATCATAAAAACTTCTTAAAACTTGTTTTGCTCATAACTCTTACTACAAAATTTTATCTAGGTAATTTCTAAAACAAATCATAGGTTTTTCATGCTTTAGGAACTCATTTTCTACATTATATTTTCAAGAAAACCTTATAGCTTTGCTATTCAGAACATGGTAGTTTGAGTTTTCTGAGTCAAAATATATAAATAGGACTTAGGTAACTCTCTTTACTTGAAAATGAGTCTTTTGCAACAAAGAGATGAGAAGTGATGTCTCTAAAATCAGGTTCTTCCTAAGATCAAAAGGAAGGGTGTAAAGTTTATTATTTTTTTTTTATGGAAGATATTGTTTGAAAGACCAAGTTCTTCTTAAACATTCAAAGTGGAGTAACTTTGATAAGAAACAAAAGGATGGAATAGAATTGAGATTAGGAGATCAAGCTCTAAGAAATTACTTGGGATCTAGTGAAAAAATATGTTCAAGCTTAGATCTGAGAGAGTTTTGGAGAGTAATGGTGTTTTTTAACTGGGGAAGGAGTGAGAAAACAGACAGTGATATGAGAAAGGGTTATTGGCCTTATGTTTTAAATTTTAAAACAATGAAGTTATTTATATACTATTTTCACTCACGACTTATCGCTTGAGCAAGCCTATTCTTGCTTGAGCAAGCCTATTCTCGCTTAGGTGAAAACACTAGATAGAAAATTTTACCTAGTTTTTTTTGTTTTTACAATCTTGCTTAAGCGAGACAGGCTCGCTTGTGCCTTCTCACCTGAGTGAGAGAACAATTGGGGTGATAGTATCTATTCTTGCCTAAGTGAGCACGCTTTGTAGGTTGTGTCAGATTTAGTTATTTTGATTATGTTTCAAGTTGTGTTGGCGTCGACCTTTGATTTATTTGATGCCTTATGTACTCAGTTCTACTGTGTGTACTTATTTACTTTTAGCACTTGGATTTACTTGACATTCGGTGCATTGAGCCTAACATTTTGTTACATTCTAGAGTTTTGTTTAATGCTAAGGAAAAGGTATTTCCAACATTTCTAACTAGACAATGAAAGTATGTATACATGTGTTTTACTTTATATCAATGACCAAATATTACACAAGGATGAACTTATGGAGATTTTGATTATACCTTATGTACATAATGAATGTATATATTGATTGATGTTATGTTTTGGATGTTAGCTTTATAAAAGAGAAGAAAATACATTTATAATTTTGAGAATGTTATTATGAGAAGATTATGTTATTGATGTTAACTCTCTCACATCATGTGTGATTATATACTATGCTACTAAGTATTTGTCAAGTTTAGGGTTAGAGATGTCACATGTAAAGGTGGCTGAATTTAGCTTGTTTCTCCAAGTTCAATTTTGACATCACTTTCTTAGCCAATTTGGACTATAAATTTGGTTGCATGCAAGGCTTAATTTAACCAATTTTACCTAAGGTTTCATGTAAATTTTTGGGTTGCACTTAAGTCTCAATGAATTCAATTTTTTTAAAAGTATTTTATGGTCATTATGGCTGCACCAATTCTCTCTTGATTTGGTTCTAAAATTATCCTTTAAAATAAGTTTAATTGATACTTAAATGAAGGTATCATTTCCCAAGTTTATAATCTCAATCTAACTAAATTTTTGGTTTGTTCTTTAAATTTTTTGAATATTAGTTAGAATCTCTTTTTAAATAACTTGTTCCTCTTAACTTAATACTCACCTCATGTCATCTTAATCTCTACTTTGCCGACAAAATTTCTTAAATTATTTATTCGATTACACTTTATATAAACTTCACTAATTTAAGCCTTAATTAGTTTAGGTCTAATTCCTATTTTATATGAAATTTATGACTATTAATTTTCAATTTTCTTAGGATTTTTATTGCCTATTTCATATTTTTTATATTCTCTTTAACTTAGACTTAAAAATTTTCACTTAAGAGTTCTTAAGAATTCTTAACAACTAAAATATGAAAAAAGAAAAAGTTTCAAAACAAGAAACATATTACAACAACCATTCTTAAATTTCTCTCATCATCCAAAACTACAACACAACAATAAAAATACTTTAAGTAAACTCAACAATTTCATATACCTTCAACAATAATTCTTTTCACTTTGATATTTTTTCATATATGGCAATGAATTTATTCAGTAACTACTATTTGTTAATAGTAAACACAACACTATAATTAGTAAAGTTAGTTAAAAAGATATCAAACAATATTTAAGTACATGTTTGAACTTTTTTTTTTTTACAACTATATTCTTTTTCTTTTATACTAATAGAATTTTTTTTGGTCACCTAAAATTAAATATGACAAATATGGTAATGTATATGAAAGACTGACATGGACCTTAAATGAAGTTTTAAAACTATAAATTAAAAATATTGATAATATACCTTTTAAATACATATTTTAGTACATTTCATATAACTAATTTATTTTTAAAAATATTAAAATACTTAATTTTATAAATTAATAATATTCTTCGTAGATAGTATAACTACTTAACTTTATTCAGATATCTTAAATTTTGATTTTAATTTATATTCTTTAAATAAGAAAATTTTGAGCCATATATTTATTATATTTCATTAAATCTATAATATTCTACTGTATTTGATTATTCAACCTATTTGTAAAACTTGATTGACCAAGTTTCTTTATTTTAATTCTCTTTTAAAAATTTTATTTTATTAATTTGATATAATTGACGTGATTTTTAAAATTGATATTTTAAATAATTGAGTTTTTTTAACGTATTACTTTTTAAATCTAATAACAAATACTTAAGATTATAAATAAGTTAAATTATTAATAAACTATTTAAGCTTGACTCATTAAATATTAACTAAACTTATTTATTTAATTAAATAATGAAAATTAAATTTTAAATTAGATTAAATTATTTAAATTAGTTAAATTTAATTCTAAATCTAATTTATTTATATAAATAAAATAAAATAAACATATTTTTTTACAAATAAGTTTAAAATTTAAATTTTAAAAGGCCAAGCATCACTGACTTCTTTCTCTCTCTCCCCCCTCTCTCTCTCTCTATATATATATATATATGAAAATAATTTCAAGATTATTTTTACTAAATTCCACGTCATCCATTCAAATTATATTAATATAATAATAAATTTAATTAAATAATATATTTTTATATGTTTTAAAGGTTAAATTTGAAACTGCAGACGTATGGGGCTGAGACCTAGAGAATATTTAATTTATCTTGTTTTTGGTTCGACCCGACCGGACCCGACGTTTCGGATCTCAACAGATCCATTCCCATTTGGATGAGCGCAGTGATAAATTCTCATCCCTTCTCTCATTCTCTGTTCCTCACCCTCTTTCTCTTTCAATCCCTCACTGTTAATCAGGTATCTTTTTTTTCTCTTTAATTTTTGTTGCTTCATTTCTGCTTTTAAAATACGCATCTTCATTTCGTCAATTATTATTATTTTTTTTGCACATTTTTTTTCGGTTTCGGAACAATTCGATTTTATCGTTTCTTTGATATATTGTATTAATTATTGTTTCTTTAAATTATTTTTACCATTTATCGAATTCTTTCCTGAGGTTGATGGTGTTTGTTCATCCATTTGTTTTAAGTTTCGGTTTATTTTTGGGTCATCAGTCAGTGGAGTCAGATTATTGCTTATAATTTATGGAATTTTTTTTTATATTTTTCTTTGGTATGAATGATGACCCTTTTCTTTAATTTAGACCCAGTTTTTATTTTGTTTTATATTATTTTGTTTTATTTATTTTAAATAGCTATTATGCTTTCACTTGAACGTGACTCGGTTTAGTTCACTTTAGCTTTAAAGTTGCTTGTCTTTGCATCTTGTAAATGGTGTGCAACCCTACAATGTTTGTCTTTGCTTTACCTTAGGGGTCGTTTTAGTAATTTACGTATGCTTCCAACTCAAGCCATCTTATGGAGTTTTGCTTGTGGCTTTCAGAAATTGGATAAGCTGGTTTTATAGGTTTTTCTTTCAATCTGTGACCTCTTGAGTCTAACCTTCATTTGCTGTTGATAGACAAAGTACCTGAAAGCGATTACTGCTTTTGTGTTATGTGCCAGAGCTGAGGAAATTAGTTCCTTGTCCATTGCTTTTGAGTAGAACCTGTGGTCAATTGGTCATGAGTTTTGATAGTACCATGCTTCACTTCTTTTCATATCACGGTTTATTAAAGCCAGAGTCAATGCTATGTAGCTTAACTTTGTTGATATGGATACAACACGTTGGCCTATTTTCCAATCTCAGGTATCTGTCTGGATTTTTCAGTTTTTTCTCATGCCTGAAAGTGCTCTTGTTATAAAATGAAAAGTATTCATTGTGGGGAACAAGTTAAAAATTTCCGATTTCCAAAAAATTTGAATTTGGAAGCAGGATTTGTTGGTTCTTTATCAGACACCATAGTTATTGAACTTTACAAGTTTGTTTTTATCTCCCTTTTTTCTTGCTTATAAGGCTGTGTTTTAAATGAATACTAAGCTTTAGATTTGTCCTGTTGGTTGAATTTTAGATTTGTGCCATTTAAGATTCTATTTATTTAATTTTCTTTTCAAATTGAAAATGAAATTGGTTATTTTTTACTATGTAGAAATGAGGATAGAGTACCCCTGACCTGACATGTTTATCTATGCCACAAGCTTAAAACCACTTCGTTTACATGACCATATTTTGTTCTTAGCATTTGTGGAAAATGTTGAGTTTCCCTTTGATGCTTGGTGCAACTTTTGATGAATAGCTTTATTAATTTTGGTTGAAGTAAAGAAGCCAAACTTTTTGGCAATGTGCAATATTTGCGACACTTTGTTGCATATGGTTGGAGGAATAACTCTTTCATTTTTAGAATATCTCTTTGGATAAGCAACTTTTGGGATAAGATTTGGTGTTTGGCTTCTGTATGGTGTAAAACAGATGGACCTTTTTCCTTCCATATATGATGAAGGTTTGCATTGTTTTGCTTCATTAATGTCTTCTTTAATGTATGCTTTTTCTTTTCTTTTCTTTTAATGAGGATCTCTTATCCCCTTATCCCTTTGTACTCTTCTCCATTGTCTTTTTGATTTTCTTCTCTTACTAATTTTTTTTTTTTTGGGTTAAAGCATATTTCGTACACCCACTCAATGTGAAGGTTGCATTCAAGTAATATTTTCCACTGTCTTCTTGGCAATCATTTTCCTATTAAATATTGTGGGATAAAGTGTTTTTGTGTATTTATAGCATATGAATATTGAGAGTTCTTATGTAACTAATGGAGGAGCTTTCATATTAGTGTCATTCATATTTATTAGATTACTGGTTTATGGAATATTTCTTGATCACTCTTTATGATTCAAAATAAAGGAAATGGAGGAGGATATGGAAATTGATCATATTGTGGATATTCCTGATACCCCAGATAGAATAATTTACGATCAGAAATATTTCAGTAATCCTGAGAAGAGGGAGAGGGGTTTTACTTTTGCAGATGAAATGAATAATGGCCGCAACTATATAAATTTGTCCCCATCAGAGAAATCTTGTCCTTCTCAAAATGCTCCCATCTTTAGGAGAGCTCAAACTGAGAAATTATCTGGACTTGGGACAACACATTTGAATGGAACTGAAAAGATGGAGAAAGGGAAAGCTATAGGCTCTAAGTTTCCTTCTAAATCATCTCGCCATGGGCCTATTTCTGTTTTAGATTTGACTGAAGAGAATGGACAATTCCAACAACTGAAACCAGCTTTATCACATCATGGATCAAGATATAATGCAACTGAAGACAAGAAAGAATCAAAAGCAAGTATTGGGAACTCTTCATTACCATTTTATGCTGATTCTTCTAATACATCTAGAAATGCCTTCACTGGAAAGGGTAAACTAGATAATAAAACACTTCCAGGCCCTAAAGTATCTGTGGACCGTGGCAAGAGTATTTCTCTGCCTAATGATTCTCAGTCTCAATCACCAAATGAAAAGCAAGTGTCTTTGCCTCCTTGTCTTTCCACTGCTCCACAATGTAGAGGGCACAAGAGATTGGTACGAAATGGGTGCATTTCACCTCATAATATTGCAACTAGGGCAAAGCAATCAGCTAAACAGAGCAGCCATCAGACCAAAAGTGTTGAACAGAGTCAAGCTGGGCATTCGGTTTCTAGCAATACTGTATCGCTGATTAGTGTTGATGATACAGTTGCTGAAGAGAGAGGCAGTGGTAGAGCAAAAGGAAAGGAAGTACTTACTCATCCTTCATCACATGGACTTCATGCCACAACTTTTCACACCAACAGCAGGTTATCAGACCATATTACATATTGAATTGCTTTTTTGTTTTTAGTGGATGACCTGGAAGTTTTGTTTCATTTTTTTCAGGTAGTCTTGCATGAGTTATGCAAGATCTCTGTGCATGCTATTATTAAATGAAGTTAATAAACTGTTTGTAGCTTCTTTAATGACAAAATAATTGACATAAAAGTTGCAGCAACCTAGTGAATTGAAATAATGTTTTGAATTTAATAAATTAGGCAGGAAAACTATCAAATATGCACAAATTTTTAGGAGTTTTGTTTCATTATTTATTTTCGGTCTATTTATTTATATTTTGATGTTCAAACTTATCATAAATTGATTCCATAGGTTTTCATGCAGTCCATTATTTATGGCTGATCACCATAGAAATATGACTTCCAATGAGGAAGTGTTTCAATTAAATGGATTAGATTTAACTGTTGGTGTTATAAGAAAATAAATTGAGATTATTTCTTCTTTCATTACCTAACTCAAATTGCATGCACATGGTTTATTTATAGATGACATACATTTTATGATGAAATTTGCATTTATATTGAGTATTGACTATATGAATCTCATAGTTATTGAACTTGGACTGACTTTATGGAACTTCATTGAGTCTTCGACAGAAGTTCATTTATTCTGAATTAGGAGTGACTAAAAAGTAACAAGCCAAAGAAAACCCTTCCTGTAGTATTATGGTAATTCTGATTTACAGGAGTTTGTCTAAATTTTTTAAACAAAAGAAGAAATTTCATTTGTTTTGAGGAGGGTAGTGGGAAGTTTTATTTGATGTAGATATTATGATCAGTATTATCAATTTTGGATGGCAGAAGGCTAAAATCTGCTGTACAATATGGTGGATGGTGTTGTGTGGCAAATAGCAGAAGCATGACTGCCATTTGACAGCACTGATTATGATCTATAATGTGGACCTTGCAGTTTTTCAATCTTGTTTTGTTTTGAAACTTCTGTCAAATATTTTCTAAACCAAGGAATAATTGCAAATTCTGTTGAAGGTATATATATTGTCATCTTGTGCATTGCAATTTTCTTTCTAAACCTAATGTTTGTGCAATCGGTTTGGAAAGTGAAAAGACACGACATTTAGTCATCTATCGTTTGTCTACATGCTTAAAGAAGCCCCATCTCTTGTATCTGTTGATTACTTATGCTGAGATTAAAGGCATTTGTTACTTCTTCACCAGCCCTGTAATCAACTGCGAAGAGGCCAACAGTACCCTTAATGCTTTAAGAAATTCATTTCAATACACTGAGGGACAAGGTGGTTGGAGAACTACACATAATGAAAGAAATGCTGATCAACAATTGTACAATGTAAATGGGCTTCATTCAAGAAGGAATTGTGATACTGGAAGATTTATTAATAGACGAAATATCAGCATAATGGACAAAAGAAACACTGGGAACAGTCAAAGCAGCAATGATGTTCATACTTCTCTATTAGATCATAGTGCTCAACCAACTTCTGTGATCATTCCAGATGTAGACCAGTCAACTGGAACCCATCATACTGCTGACATTCTGACTAAAAGGCAAAGAAAACGGGAATCACCTTCAGGAAATCCTAATGATGCATCTTATAGTTATAATTCAGAGGTCATGTTCCTCAGTTCGTCTGGGGAATCATCTAGCTCATCCCGGAGCCCTGTCTTGGATCCTGAGGTGGTTGAGTTGTTATCTACACCAGGGTTTGCCAACAGATCATCTGAAGATGTAGATGACAATGACAAAAATATTTTGGATGCTCGGGCAAGACAAGTAGAAGCAGATGAGATTTTGGCACGTGAACTCCAAGAACAACTGTATCATGATGATTTTTTTGAAGGCAGAGGGGTTGGCTATTTTTCTTTTCCTCACTCTTTGAGATGTAGTTTAAGGCTTTAAGATATTTCTTATTTACAAGCACTTGTCATTTCTTGATCTGCTGCAGATTGATGAACATTTAGCATGGGAGCCGCAGCATGCAGAGGATCTTCTGCATACATCTATTGATAGTCACGATATATATCATCCTGTAACTAACTTCTCTTTTTCTCTGAATTGACTATATTAAAGAGAATACCTGTCTGTATGAGCAAAGTTTCTTTATAGGTTACCTAAAATATCAAGCGATGTTACAATGCTTTCTTTCTATGCATCAATGCTAAAATTTGTTCTTTATATCATGATTTAACTCTTTTATGTATTTTTAAAAGATTCAAAGGTGGTTTATGGATGGTATGTATAATTAAAGGTTGAAATGCCAGACTTGAAGTCTACATGACATAATATTGTCTTTATCTTTATTATTTGGCATAATTGTACTTTAAAATGGATCTGTAATGTGCTGTTGTTTTTTATATCTGTTGAGAGAGAAAATATTGAATCCGTGTGTTTAGGGCACAGCGGAGTTATTCCAATTTATAGAGAAGAGTAAATAATTACAAAATATACAGTTACTATATTTACAAGATTCTAATAGATTCTAACACTTCCCCTCAAGTTGGAGCATATAGGTCATATGCACCAAGCTTGTTACATATGTAGTTAATCCGAGGACCCCTTAGTGACTTAGTAAAGATGTCTGCTAGTTGGTCATGGGAATTGACAAAACTAGTAGATATTTCTCCGGACATGACTTTCTCTCTGACAAAGTGACAATCAACTTCAATGTGTTTTGTCCTCTCATGAAATACTGGATTTGAGGCAATATGAATAGCGGCTTGATTATCACATATAAGTGACATGTGTGATCTCTCCGAACTTTAATTCTTGAAGCAACTGTTTGAGCCATATAAGCTCCTGACTCGCTATAGCCATAGCTCGATACTCCGCTTCCGCACTCGACCGGACTACAACATTCTGCTTCTTACTTTTTCAAGAGACAAGGTTATCTCTGACAAATATACAGAATCCAGAGGTGGACCTTCTATTTATGGGAGATCCTGCCCAATCTGCATCAGAATATCTCACAACCCGAGTGTGTCCTTTGTCTTCATACAAAAGACCCTTTCCTGGAGCTCCTTTGATGTATCAAACAATGCGAATCACTGCATACCAATGTTCCTTACATGGAGAGTGTAGGAATTGACTTACTACACTCACTGCGAATGAGATATCTGGACGGGTAACAGTGAGGTAGTTTAGCTTTCCTACTAATCGTCTGTACTTTTCAGGATCTAGAAGAGGCTACCCCTGATTTGGCAGGAGCTTGACATTGGGATCCACGGAAGTGTCGACTGGCTTGGAAGTTAACATTGTTGTTTCTTCCAAAATATCCATTGCATACTTCCTTTGGAAAATGATGATCCCACTTTTGGACTGTGCTACTTCTATTCCCAAAAAGTATTTGAGTTTGCCGAGATCCTTTGTCTGAAAATGTTTGAAGAGATGTTGCTTCACCTGTACAATGCCCTGATGGTCACCACCTGCGATGACAATGTCATCAACATAAACGACCAAATAGATGCAACTGGTAGAAGAGTGACGATAGAAGACAGAATGGTCAGCCTCACTCTGAGTCATGCCAAACTGTTGAATCACAGTAGTGAATCTGCTGAACTATGCTCTGGGTGACTGCTTGAGGCCATATAAAGATTTTCGCAATCAACATACAAGACCAGAGGACTCCCCCTGAGCAACAAAGCAAAGCGGTTGCTCCATGTAGACTTCCTCTAGCAAATCACCATGTAAGAAAGCATTCTTAATATCCAACTGATAGAGAGGCCAATGACGTATGGCAGCAATGGATAGGAATAGTCGCACAGAGGGCAATTTGGCCACGGGAGAGAAGGTGTCGCCATAATCCAACTCGAAGATTTGAGTATAGCCTTTGGCGACGAGACGGGCTTTAAGCTGGTCAACCTTGCCATCTGGACCAACCTTGACTGTATACACCCACCGACAGCCAACAACTGACTTCCCTGGTGGTAGAGGAACGAGGTCCCAAGTCCTACTGTTCTGTAATGCACACATCTCATCCAACATAGCTTGTTTCCACCCAGGATGGAAAAATGCATCACCTGTACTCTTAGGAATAGAAACAGAAGACAAGGAAGAAAGGCAAGAATAATAGGAAGGAGAAAGACGATGATAACTTAAAGAAATATAATGAGGAGAAGGATTACGAGTAGAACATATAACTTTTTGAATGGCAATGGGAATGTCAGATTTAGAGGGCGAGACCGGAAGATGAGGCGAAAGAGGTGGCTCTAAAGGTGAGTCTATGGTGTTGTCAGTGCTCGGTGGCTCCAAAACAGGACGAGTACGACGCTGATATACCTGCAAAGGTAGAGGAGATGGGTGTGGAGGGGATGGAGACGCCTCTGGAGGACAGAAAAGGATTGAACTAGGGGCAGTTGTGGATGAGGAAGACTCGAGTGTAGATGTTCTAAGTTCAAAGAACGGAATGGACTCGAAAAAAGTAACATCAGCAGAAATGAAATACCTGCGAAGAGTAGGGGAATAACACTGTATCTTTTTTAAGATCGTGGGTACCCGAGAAAAATACACTTATGAGACCGAGGAGAGAGCTTGTCAATGCCAGGACCAAGAGCATGAGTAAAACATGTAGAACCAAAGACACGAGGGGGTAAAGGATGAAGAGAGTGGTGGGGGCATAGAACTTGATGAGGGATTTTACCTTGTAAAACAGAGGAAGACATGCGGTTAATGAGATAACATGCAGTAAGTACCGCATCACCCCAAAATTGATGAGGAACATGAGAGTGGAGAAGAAGAGTCCGGGTGGTCTTAAGTAGATGCCTATTTTTGCGTTCTGCAACTCCATTTTGTTGAGGCGTATAAGGACAAGATGTTTGATGTAACACACCATGTGATGCCATAAAGGTCTGAAACTGAGTAGATAAATATTCACGGGCATTATCACTTTGTAAAGTTCGAATAGGGATACCAAATTGATTTTTTATTTCATTAAAAAAAGACTGAAAAATTGAAAAAATTTCAGAATGTTCTTTCATTAAGTATAACCAAGTACAACGGGAAAAATCATCTATAAAAGTGACAAAATACCTAGATCCTAATGTAGAGGAAATACAACTTGGACCCCAAACATCTGAATGAACTAAAACAAAAGGGGACAAAGCCCGACTCATAATGCGACTAGAAAAAGAATGACGAACATGTTTGCCTAATTGACATGACTCACAAGACAAAGACTCTGACTTAGAAAGACTAGGGTATAGCTGCTTCAACTTATCAAGACCTGGATGTCCTAATCGAGCATGAATCAGAAGTAGAGACGCTGCTGCTGAACCAACAAGAGAGGGCTTGTTGAGCTGATAGAGACCATGAGACTCACATCCGGAGCCAATTGTCCTCCTCGTAATCCGGTCCTGTAGGAGAACAGAATTTTTGGTAAAAGATATGACACAATCAAGAGACCAAGTAAGTTGATTAATGGACAATAAATTAAAGGGTGCCCCAGGGACATAAAAGACATTGTTAATAGAAACAGAAGGAAGAGGATGAACAATACCAACACTTCGGGATTGAGTTTGAGACCCATTTGCCATGGTGACAGAAGGTAAATAACCAGAAGTAGAAAGAGAAGAAAAAAGGAATTTTTTACCAGTGATGTGATTGGTGGCCCCAGAGTCAAGGACCCAAGAGCCTGAAGAGTGAGAGAGACCAACGAAGGAATTACCAGTGTGTGCAACAGCAGCAGTAGAACCGGAGGCCTGACAATTGTCTACCATTTCAGAAAATCGTCATAGGAAGGTGATGAATGTGGATCCGGAGCCAATGTCGGAGCAGAGGTGGATGAAGGAGACACAGAACTCCGGGCCACCTAGGCAGTGCGAGGAGGTCGACCATGTAGAGTCCAACACTTATCAATTGTGTGTCTCGGGCGGTGGCAATGATCACACCAGGGACGTCCTTTGCTACCTTTGCCCTGTGAAGGTCAGTTGGTGTTGCAAGAAACCAAAGCCGAAGAGTCACTAGGAATGGGAAGCAAAGGCTCAGAGGAGGATTTGGGAGGCACACGGAGGAGGGTTGCCCAAGTACTATCCATAGTAGCTTCTGTGAGGCTCCCCAGGATCTGATCACGAACATGAGAATATTCTGGGGGTAGACTGTATAAAGCCAAGGATATGAAAAACTTCTTGCGATTGTCAAGTTCTGCATCTGGAGTGGCAGTAGGAGGAAGCAATTTGTTGAACTCACAAAGAAGGCTTAATATCGAGCCAAGATAGGTTGACATAGAATCCTTAATTTGTTGGGCACTAAGGACAGTCATGAGGTCTTCACAAACTTGGTAGAGTCGCCGAGAATTGTTTGTAAAGAGTTGCTGGGCTTGTGTCCAAACAACCTTGCAAGTTTTGTGAGTGCGAAAGACATCACGAAGAGATGGGTGAATGGTGGCTCGGATGATACAGCACAGTTGAGCGTCAACCTTTTTCCACATAGGACGGTCGGCCTCTGGGACATCATCTGCTGTTTGGGTGAGATGTGTCTCATAACCCTGTCCAACAAGTCAAAGTTCAATGTGAGAAGCCCAAGAGGAGTCGTGCTTACCGTCCAATTGCTCAGAAGAAAGAGGAGCAGTGACATGGTTGGTAAAAATCTGGGTATCAGCTTTTGGAGTGCTAGAGGCAGCCATTGGTCAACGAGAAGAGAGAGAAAATGTCCAAACAACAGCGAAAAAGGGCAAAACAAGATAGAGTAAATGTCCAAATAGCAAATCGAGACCGGACACAGGTAGGGGAGAGAGGGGCGAGCAAACCCCAATCGACGGCGTCAGGAACGAACGCCGGACGCGCGGAGAGAGAAGGTGGCGCGTGAGAAAACCGCCTGAGGAGAAGGCGGAGCGTGGGGGCGCGTGAGGGCTCCAATGAAGGCACGGTCAGCGGGGTTCGGCCGATCTGACAAGGGCGATCACGACGGTGGGGTTTCCGTAGTGATCGGAGGTTGGACGGCGGCGGCGATGGTGGTGGTGGCGCCGGAAAAAAATGAGGATTAGGGTTGCCTCTCTAGGCTTTAGATACCGTGTTGAGAGAGAAAATATTGTGCAGT